GATCAGAGGAGAAGGACGATATTATGAGCCATCATGTCACCAGTAGAATCATGGTGTTCGGTTCTTGTTGCTGGCAGTAGCAGTGCGGGACATCATTAGATCCAGGACATAAAGCAAGCAGTATTGACCGTAGGTGTTTCATCAACATTCAAGTTGAAACCACCAGTGCCTCAGGAATCGGGGACAGTTGAGGCTGCAAGTGCGCGGTTGGTGCGCTTGCAGGGATTGATATCTCTACTCACCCAGATCGATATTGATCACTGATCACTTATCGTTTGGGCTAGCGTCCCTATTGGCTTGTTGGGTAACCTATTTTTGATTGGGGGGCATCCGGGTAGCCATGAGACACGTGAGGGCACGTCACCGGTGCCCTCACCGTGACCTTTGTTCATTTGCCCCCATAAGGAATCCCGTTTCTTGGTCTGTTGGTCAAATGACCGAGATTCACTCAGTGTTACCAATGAGTTGACGGACTCTTGCGCATAGCGGTCCGCTGATTGGGTTAACTTGGATCTGGCGGTTGATTGAATCCTTTGCCGACTACCATTCTTCTAGGAATTCCCTCTCGCCTATAGTACTCCCGCACGCAAAGATATGTATATTATCTAAATTAAACTTGTGTTCTTCCTTATCACTATGTATGGAAATAAGATGTAGTGGGTCGTGTCTTTTGATAGCTCTGTTGTGTTCATTTAACATGTAGGAAGTTTTGTTCCCGTCTGTTCATCGGATTTAGTACACGACGTAGCGGCTTTGGCTTCTTTCCGTCTGCCTTCTGCTGTACTGCAGTGCGCCTCCGCTCTTGTGGACAGATCGTGAGTAGTGAAGAAACGACTGAAATTAAATTTCCATGGGGCAAGATGGCCCAAGTGCTTAGAGCGCAATTTACTGACCGGAAGGTCCACGGTTCAAACACGACCTCTGACTCTCGACTTCCCTGTCTAGGCTTGGGCAACCTGGCAGTATCCCAGCCCTCGTGCTTCCTTCGGTTGGTATGACAGCTAGGCACCGGAAGGGTGCTATAACTGAGCGTTTTTTTATTTATCCCTGCACAGCGAACAAACTGACGGCCATCACTGCAACCTGAGCTACCAATATTCTCTTCAACTGTATTGTTGTTGTTAGCGCTGCACCGAATAGGCTATGGATATGTCTTCTTGAATCGCATGGGTACGGAAGAGGTGCACACGGCACAGAATGCTTCACAGTTTTCAAGTATGGTAGCAGTCGGCAGAATAAAAAAAGCTCTGAGATGTGTCAATGGTTCATATTGAAATTCGGACGCCTGTACGCTTGCTGAAGCCAGCAATCCCCACCCGAGGGGATGCAGACAGTGACATCATCAAAATAACGGCATAGACGTTATGATCTTTTCAAAACGTTCGAAGTGTTAACCAGCGAGTCCACAGTGAGAATACTTAATGAAGTACGATGTAGACTTCAACCAGGTTTCCTGACATGCATTACAATCTTACCTGGACTGTTCCACGGTATGACTCAATCGTCCGGTGAGAGGTAAACTGTACATCCGTTCTTACTGGTGGGTTGCTCATCTTCACGTAAAGCCAACACCCTTAACCGATGTCTGCCAACTGTCCATTACTTAATGTGTATACATGATTGGACGGGCTCATTAAAAAGGTAGAGAACCGCAACGGACCAGATGACCGTCCGTAAGACAACGTTCTGAGTCCAAAAGATCCCTCCAGTATTCCGAAGCATGGCCAAATAGCACGGTCGAACGTGTGTGTGTGTGTTATCGAATTATTTGAAGGGTAAGCAAAAGGACCAAGGCACAAATCGGTCGACCTGTTTCGATACGACGACACGAAGAGTAAGGCTTGTTACATTAGCCCTGTCAAACAAAGTCCACACTGAAACTATACCATAAACGAATACGACTCGTGATCTGATGCTCGCATAGCTCAAAACAGATCCCTAAACGCCGCTGGCTGAAGAAAGCATTCCTTCGAGCTACATCCCGGGGTACTCGAGAATGGAAGTAAACGATTCTAGATATCCTTTGAAACTGTGCTACAATCTGAAAGGAAGGGTTCCAATGTATTAGTTACAAATCAGTCCCCACCCAAAAGGCTCGTTCGTGAGTATGACAGCACAATCTGAAAGGAAGGGTTCCAATGTATTGGTTACAAATCAGTCCCCACCCAAGAGGCTCGTTCGTATGACAGCAAAAAACTGCAGGGCTATTATCGAACTTGAAAGTCGATAATGCGAACTGAACAGTTGCGACTCAGAGGCTAATCTGCGGTGTCAGCATCGACAGCAGTGTCAACTTTGGACACCATTACGCCATAAGAAGGCTTTGTCGGGCGTTCCTCAGCTTGTCGGTGAGAAGGATTGAGCAGTATGCACTCAACCACATCAAAACAGGGATTAGCAGTACAGATGCTGATGTGATTTTGTGAACTTGACTTGCCTGATTGTGACACCAGTAAAGTTAGTCGGCGTAAATACATAGTCTCCTCCGATGAACATCCCTGCATACGTGACGATGATGTTCTGCAAAACAAAGTAGAATAACGTTTGAGTAGCTGAACAATCGCTAGTAAGCTGATTGTTTAAACAGAAAACAGTAATCACGTGACCGAATCAACCGCCGTTCGGTACATAGGTGCAGTAACACCAAATCATTGACAACCACTCGAATACTGATAAATCAGTAAAATGATCACACTCAATCGCAAGGCAGTCGTTGAATAACGTGATCGTGTTTCAATCAATTGGAAAATGATTGAGACCGATTGGGTAGAGGTCTGGTAAACAATAAATGCACCGATTGTTTACTAAGCCTCTGAAACAATCCTGTTTCGTTTTGTGGCACCCTTCCGCTTTCACTCCACCCTCCCCCAATGCCAAGGAAGGTCAAAAAGTCCATGAAAACATTAAAAGCGGCAGAGATGCCCTGTAACTCTTTCATCAATTCGTCATCGAGATTTTTCGGAGGCGGATCATTGCTATTCTACAACCCCCAAATTCAAGTTCCTTAAGCGGGGTTCTGACTTTCGAAAAATGTTCCCAGGAATGTTCTCTAATGCCCTTCCACCACCTTGTACCTTCGCAGTGAATTAAGCTCATGAGCTTCTCTAAAACTCCGTCTCTATTTACATTTCCAGACGCTTGTGTTGACATATTAAAGGAAACATGAAAACTACGGGCAGAATGTGGACATCACGGGTTGATTTCAATCATAGTCATGTATGAGGGCAGTTCACAACAGAACATCGAACTGTTTTTGGGGAGACATCGACCAGTGACAATGAAATACAATATCG